ATCCCCACACCATTTTTGTCTTTGAGCATTAAAAAGATATGTGAAGTCTTTAAGAATGAAAATCTAAAAGCAATTGACTCTGTATGAAAAGCAATTATGAAATACAGTTTCATAAAGTGTATTTTATTATCTTAGATGTGCTCACATGTGTCAGTTTTCTCATAAGCACAAGCCCAGCACCAAGCCCACCTATGTATTTATCCACAGACTCTAGTGTCAGAGCAGAAAGCTTCAGTTTTCTGTATTGCTTATGTGAAGGAAAATTGACCAGCATGATCTCCAAAAGTATAATTTGTTTCAGCAATTGTGTTTGTAAAGCCCAAGTTTTTATAGCTTGAACTGGTGTTTTTGAATAACCAGGCCTAAGCATGGGAAGAATAAGGATGTATCCATGCAGGATTTTTCTTTTTCAGAAGCTGAAATCTATTTGTGAGGAACGTCTATATATGAAGACATGATAACCCGGTAATGTAGAGAACATTTGGAGAGTACTGACTACTACACTACTACCATAAAAGTAAGGGAAAGGAAAACTAGCACAGAGTATGAGAACAGCACTGGTCCATCTGTACCACACATACACACACACACACACATGCACACACACACACACACACAAAAGAAAAAAATGACAATGGTGCTGAAAAGAAAAAGGGAATGAAAAGTATGTAAGAATAGATATGGAAGTGAGAAAATACACCTATCTGTTATAACATTGGGAATTATAATTGCCAGATGGGAAGCAGTGAGAAGAATGAGGGCAAGCAAAAGACTCAAAATTAGTAAATACCCTGTGAATTTGAATATTAAAGATAATTGTTTTGATTCTCAATATGAAGAGTTACCAGGTGAATTTAATTCCTAATTGAGTAAAAATTAAATGAAAGATTAACAGTAAGCTTAAAATTAAACTTGCTCCAATATACTAGCATTACATATGATAACAAGATGGAAACTTAATATATACCAGAAAATTTCAAGAACAGTTATTTAATGTTTTATTTATTTAGATTCATAGTAAGTTTTATATCCTTAAACTGGAAGGGAGTCCACAGAGACAAAAATAAATAATGATATAATAAAATCCCGAAGATAGAAAGAAAGCATTACATCTTAAAATTAGGCAGGTAGAGTTCGTCAATTCTGTAAGCATCATGAATCTGCATGAAAGAAACACAAACCAAAATTTCATCGAGGTTCATTCTCACCCTAAGTTCACCAAGAAAACAAAAGTTGGGGGAAAATAGGGGAGAACAGGATGAGAAATACCATAATAGAGGAGGTCATTATAGGTTTGAGGAGAGATATGGCATCAGTGTGATCTCTAGCGATCTACAAGGAAGCCACCAACTGGCAAACTAAGCAATAGCGGAGAGACTACCTTAAATGTCCATCCCTGATAATGAGTTTGACAACTACCTTATATGCCATCCTAGAACTTTCATCAAGTGACTGATAGAAGCAGAGGCAAACACCCACAGCTAATCACTGAGATGAACCCCTGGAAACCAGTGACAGAGAGGGAGGAGTAATGAGCAAAGGGGTAAAGAATGGGCTGGTGAATCCACAAAAGTAACTGGCCTGAACGAGGGGGGAGATCTTGGACCCCAGACTGACAGCTGGGAAGCCAGCATGGGACTGATCCAGATGCCCTGAATGCTGGTACCAGTGAAGAGGCCTGTACAATCTATGGGGCCCTGAGCAGTAGGTCAGTATTTATCCCTGGCATATAAATGAACTTTTGAGTGTCTATACCACAAAGAGGGACTCCTGGGAGATGGCCTAGGCCCTGCCCTGAAAGAAATGATAGATTCTGGATATCCACTATGGGGAAGGGAGTGGGGATAGGGTGGGAGACCGGGGGTGGGGGGTCTGGTGGGATGGTACGGGAGGAGGAGAGGGAGAGGGAGCTGTGACTGACATGTGAAGCAAGTGTAATAAAAAAATAATAAAAGTTATAAAAATAAGAAAAAAAAGAAACTTTATGTCCTTTTTTATAGTCTATTGGCTGCATTATGACATGGTATAGGCACTCTGAAATTCAGCATGATTTGTATAATACATATGATATACATAAAGAGAGAGAACAACGTTCATAGCACCCAGCTACACCACTTGCAGGTACTTTGTCCAAAGAGTAAAGAGACACCTCTATACCTTTATTGTGATGTTATTCACCAGAACCAAGTAATGGAATTGATAACAGTTTCTATTGACCATTACACTGGTGAAGAAAATGTGGTATGTACACATTGAAATTTTACCTCACAAAATATAGTATAACATTTGAAAATATAGAAAATTAATGGAATTAAGGATTGAAATATTCATGAAATAAACCAATCCCACATATACAAATGTCAAGTGTGCCCTCTGATATGTGCTCCTGTGTCTCATAAGGTGTGTGTGTGTGTGTGTGTGTGTGTGTGTGCGTCTCTCTGTGTGTGAGAGAGAGAGAGAGAGAGAGAGAGAGAGAGACAGAGAGTTTGTGTGTGTCTCTGTGTGTGACAGAAAGAGAGAGAGAGGGAAGAAACTAAAAGAGGGACTGTAATTGGACTTTCTTTGGGACTGTTAGCTCCCGAATAATGACATGGATACTCAATATAAGTTAAGTAATTCTAGCCTTTAGCTTAGTCTTGCTCCAAACTACCCCTTATGACTTAACCTGTTTCCACTAATACATATTATGCCACATGGCTATTTATCTCTCTTACAATCTATATGCTCAACTGTCTCTGTGTCTCTCTTGTATCTCCATTCTTACTTCTGAGTTCTCTCTACACCAAAGTCTCCCATAATCTCTCCTGTTTAGCTATTGCATGTTCAGCTTTTTATTAAACCCATCACTGTGACATATTTTCACACAGTGTAAACAAATATCCCACAACAAGACACTGTTAGAGATGAGAGAAGAAGGAGTGAAATAAATGCTAATAGAAAAATGATTATTGCTAAAATACATTGTATGAGAATATGGAGATATCATAATGAAATGCTGTTATACAGTAAACATGTTAATGTATTAAATTAAATATTTTTTCTGTAAGAAACACAGTCTCCTATGAGGACTAGTTTACTTATTCATTTAATTACTTATTACATTAATAATTTGAATTTTAAACTCCAAGCCCTGAAGACATGATGAGAAGTTAATTTAGTGTCACAAAATAAAGTCTGCAAGCCCTGAAGCTTGTGGATTTGCATGCATATAAGTATTTTCTATTATATATTCAAATAGGATAGCATGTATATTATCTCTTTTAAAATATATTATGATTGTAAAATCATAAACCTATCAATATGTGACTTTATTTTCTTAACATTTCCTAAATCATCACATATGTCCCATGTTAGTAACATTGTAATGTATTTCAATTTTTATAAGCATATAAAACTTGGAATTGAAATGATCCCTTAATATTTTCTAATATAAAACAATTTTTAAAAACTGAAAACAATCAAAATTTTATAATATAGCACAACATATTAAATCCCAGAAAATAATTTCTATCTTTAAATGAAAGAAGCACTGCTTAAAGAAAGTGTTTTTATTGTTTTATAAGCCTGCTAAATATTAGAACTATGACTGAAGAATTAATTCACAGTGGTTAATAAATCTCTAGTCTTACTATAGCTATTAAATCTGATAACACTTTTGCCTGTTGGGTATTTCTCAAATTTTGTACAAACTATTCTTAATTTTTAAGCCACTTTCAAATGTCTTCTGCCTTTATTACTATACTTCCCTCAGTCTGAACTTCTGACAAAGTTTAGCATTCCTATTACTGATTGAATGTAATATGTGCCTTCTGCAAAGATCGTACTACCTCTAAATGTACATAGATTAGAAATATATAGGGAAAACTGTGTGAATAACCAGAGTAATTACTTACAGAGATTGCGTAATTAGATAAAAATTAATTTTTCTCTATCTTCTCACTATTTAGTTCAGTCTTGGAACTTAACAGTCACACATCGCATAACCTTGCAGGCTGGTTTTAAAGGCATATACTATCACACCTGATGTTTGAAAAAGAATTGTGTGGTTTAAAAAGTTAATGCTTAAGAAATTCCATATTTTATAAAGCAATGGCACACGATGACAGAGAATTTCACTCCTAGGATAGTGCCAGAATAAATGAATATAGGAAAGCTATGCCTTCTTTATTCTTTGATCTTGGTGTAATGCCCTGTTTACTCCTTTTAACATATCCAAACCATACACACATGTATATGAGGCAAAGTATCAGAATTGCCTCCCCAATGCAACTTAAATGGCAATCGGTTTTCCAGTAATTATATTCTTTATTGTATATATTTCTCAATAACATGTTATATGGAAATTCCTATGAAATGTTTGCAAATTTTAGCTAAACTAATTGGAAATTCTTGTTAGATTTTTTGTTGCTTAAAATGTATTTTGAATGATCTATATAGGTCATTTTCTATGAATGATGTTACTGCCTACATTGTCACTGAACTAGGCATATTGTGGAATAATTATATATAAGTCTATATATTAATAAATATTTCCTATTTATATAAAAAGAAATAATGTAAATATTGTTTTGGCTTTTACCTTCAAGTTTTTTCCAATAGCTCAACATACTAATTTATTAATTCAAATATTTTCTCAAAACACTTAGTTCTCCTGAAAAAACTGATTAGGATGCATCTTAAACATGAATACAAGGATGGAAACATAATGGCATATATTAAACTTCAAGTTGGATTGTTCTTGGGATAAAACTCAGTGGCTAAGTATTTAGCTGCTGAATATAAGGCATTAAGATTCATCCACTCCCAGTACTGATGATAAGTGCTGAACATTAAAGCAAGGATTACATTCAAGAATTACTAAGTACAAAATAATTGATGAGATCTGTTTCAAAACATACCTTCCATGTGTTTGTTCTATAGAAAACACTTGTTGTTCAAGACAAATTTGAGCCAATTTAAAAATAAATTCATGTAAATTTTAATAGATAAATAAAACTCACATGCTTTGTGAAACTTTTGTTTGACATCATGAATAGTTGATGTTTGAGTTACCTGAAAGAGGAAAATACATTTATAAGAAAAATAATAATTTCTGCTACACAAGTATTTAAGAAAACATGTTAACATTGGTAAAATAGCTATAAATTTGTGTTTTGAATAACTTTTAAATTCTACTTTAAACAACTATAATAATAGTAATGTAATTAAAAATATCTATTTATATAAAACAATAGCAGTTTAATTCCAATGAGTATATGCAAAGTACATTCTTAAAAATTTCATCTATTCAAAATATTTAGTTTTAACCTTCAACTCTCAAGAGAATATTAAGTAAAAACATGACCATTCTCAAAAGTAAAAGGACTTATTGAGAGTCCGGTTCTGAAGAAGGTAAAATAGAAAATTTATAATACCTTGGACTTTCATGAGACAAGTCACACAGTCTCATTAATGACTTTATGCTAAAATTTTTCTTTCAAACTCTCAACTGAATACACTAAAAGTGCACTAAAACATATTCAAGGTGTATTAGATAATGTGTTGACCACATTTTAGCTCTAATTACTGAAAATAATTCACTTTAAAAAATGAATGCAATTTGTTTACATTTATTTATTTTATTATGTATTGAAGCTACCAGTTTCATCCTAACACATCATCAGTCATCAGAGTACTTCTGGACTTTCTGTTCATATCCAACTTCTGAGCTCAAAATCCTTTTCACCACTCATTTTACACTTACTTGTGAATAGTCCTTCAAAACGCTTGGTAATGATCATTTATTACAACATGTTTAGTTCTGTAGTATACATAGAAGATTGGTGAAATATATAATATTATAATTAAACATGTTTATTTTGTTTCTTTAATTTCTAAATATGGATATTTTAAACAGTTAAATAAAATATGCATGAGAAGTCATGCACAAAATAATTCTCCAGTGGTTTGCACTGTACTATATTTAAGCTACAGATAAACAGATATACCTACTTTATCTTATCTTCCCTACTTAATGAAACTATGGTCAATATTTTAGTAATGTTAAGAGTCTTCATTAGAGACAGGTAACCACCCTTACTGACGACCCAAGTAGGCTACTTGTACTCTCTTTCCACTACTCCATTCTCATCTCCCCCATTATTCTTATACTCCCCACTCTCAATTCCTTGCTTCATCCTCCAAACTTATTCCCATCCCCAAGGTACTCATCTGCCACTCCTGGAACAGAGTTCCCTCAGTTCGTCATCTGCTAGTTTCCTCAGCCATTCTATCCATTCCTTTGTGACTACCACCTACTACTAGGGTCCTGCCAGTTACATTGTTGGAGACCAGTTCAAGCTCCCTATGCCCTCCTTCCCTTCTTCCTCTGTTCTGGTCCCAGGGAACAATAATCATGTTTCTGGCGCCCACTTCAATTCATTCTCCAAGATCGCCCTATTCCCTTGAGATTCACTGCCATCTATAATAAGCCTTGTTCATACCTCACCATGCGGCACAAAACTGGATCGCTAACAGTGCTTAAGAAACCCCAAGAATCAGTCCCATTTCACTAATGAATAGATTAAATGAGCACTACACGCTTAACTGATCTGGAAACGCTTGGAATACGAATTCCAAATTCCAACCAGCACTTCAAATCTGTGACCAGTTGGAAACCTGAACACTAAAATTCAAGAGTGACCACAAGAAAACTGAGCACCATTCTAAAAATATACAACCTTTCAGACTGAGTATTAGTAACCAAGGAACTGAACACCAATATAACACCAAGAGATAGCATACAAGTTTTAACTCGAAATACAAAGATAAAAGTACAAAAACATAAAAATGAATAAGCAAGAAAATATGATTTCTCCAGAACCTTGGTCGTTTATTTTCATATTCTTTGGAAATCAAATTTAACTGTTGCATAAGGTAAGAACTTGAAAATAGAAACTTTGCATAAGGTCCATGGACTTTAAAGAGTTTGTGTATAAATAAATACTTCAAAGAAGACTGTAAAAGAGTTGACTGAAATAAGGGAAACAATTCAAGGTATGGATATGAAAATATGATTTCATAAGAATTGAAACACTGAAGACTAGTTGAAATAAAAAACCTCAAAATTAAAACAAAAATCTCAGTGGAATTATTTCCAACAGATTGAATGATAATGATGATAATAATAATAATAATAATTTAGTATTTATTTAGTAAATAAATATTATACTAATGATAATAATAATTGGGAAGATAATTTCAGGCCTTGAAGAGAAGATAGGGGAAATGGATTACACAATCCAAAAACAGCATGGAAGACTTTTGACTGTTAAATAAATACAACATTACACTCCTTGAAGGCTTGCTAATAACTTTTAACTTTCAGATAGCTTTTCAGAATTTTCTGAAGGTTGACTGAATATCACACTAACTTTGTCATTGTAATTGGTCATTCAAATATACAAAGAAAAAATACCTCATTGGAAACTCTAAAATTCTCTTCATTAATATTCCTTATAAGAAAGCAATCAAAATCATTCATAAGGAATGTAAATGTTTTTCTAACTGAACCAAAAATGAGCATCTACAATTTAGCAGATTGTAACTGAAGCTTGTCACAGTTTTGGTTTGCCAACATTTAAGTTGATAAAAACAAAGTTTTCATATGCAAGAAATCAAAATTGTGTGACTGCATTTACCATCTGTGGACTGTTTCTAGAAAACTGTTCATACTATCACTATTTGTAAAAATATACTTTTGTCGTTGATCTGGGGCTTTTTTAAACTGAACATGTATCTCTGAAGTACTGTCAACAGTGGCTTTTTGAAAACTAAAATCAAATGGTTAGAAAAAAAACACAGCTATTTCAACCTACTCAGTCTTAATGCAGCAGGAAAGGGCTTGGTCCTGCCCCAACTTAATGGGACAGGGTTTATCCACCCCCTTACCCGGTGGGAGGAATAGATGTATGGTGAGCTGGGCGTGGTGAGGGGAAGCCGGAGGAAAGGTGGGAAAGAGAACTATGTTAGAATGCAATTTGAAAATTAAAAAATATATGATTAATTTAAAAATAAAAGAAAATTTCAGTTTTGAACCAGAAATCACCAGCAAACATTTGAGAAATGGTTCCCATAAATATGGAAGGAAACATAATAAAGATAAGTTAAGCATAAATGATGAAATAGCAAAGTGTGAAAGCACTCCCATGAATCTGGAAACCCACATATACAAACACTCAATACAGAGATTGTTGACTGATGAGAACTGTGTCTTGCTGGTTTCAGAACAGAAAACAGAGCACAGGTCAAGAGTAGAAAACCCAGAATTAACTCAGAAAAGTGGAACAGCTACATCTGTAACTTTCTATTACAAGTTTATAGTTTAGAAAAAATGTACTCAGTTGAAAATGTGCTTTAGACTATACAAGAATTACTTCAGTAAGCAAGTAATATTTTACTACTAAACAATATTTAAGATCGTTAAAAATAGATAAAATATTTGTAAACTAAGTTTCATAACTATAGGACTTCATCAGTATTTTATAAAGAAAGAAGGATTTTCAGTTTGAATAATACTGACAAAAATTGTGTGTATATTAAAAACACTATTTTATATAAGATTTTAAATTAATTAAATTTTATCTATCCAAGAAATAGTGAATCAATCCATAGTGTAATGGTTAGCAGTCTAGATACTGAATTCAATCATCTAAATTCCTTTTTTTTTTGGCTTTTTGAAACAGGTGTTCTCTTTACTGCTTCGGGGGTTGTCCTGGAAATTACTCTGTAGACCAGGCTGGCCTCAGTCTCACAGAGATCCTCCTCCCTCTTCCTCCCGAGTGCTGGGATTAAAGGCATGCATCACCAATGCCCTGCTCTCATCTAAATTCTTACCTTGTTAGAACATAACCATTTCTCTATGGCTAGGGATGTAGATCAGCTCATAGGCTTGCTTAGGAGGCATAGAAATTTTTTATCCTCGGCATAATGTAAACCTCAAGTGTGAGGTTGCAGGAAATTTATAGTTGATTAAATATATTTCTTTATAAACAATGTAAAAATTAGCTGTTAAGAAGAAATTCTCTAACACATATATATACATATATATATGCTTACATATATATTCACATGCAAGTATGTGTTTCTTCCATCATAAACCATTTATATGTTATAATAATCCTTCTATGGTTACTAAATACGCCATACAGTTAAAAAAGTTGAACACTAACACTGTATGTAAATTTCTTTTAAAAAATATATTCTAGCCGGGTGTTGGTGGCACATGCTTTTAATCCCAGCACTCGGGAGGCAGAGGCAGGTGGATCTCTGTGAGTTCAAGGCCAGCCTGGTCTACAAAGCGAGTTCCAGGACAGCTTCCAAGACAATACAGAGAAACCCTGTCTCGAAAAACAAAAAACAAAAAAACAAAAAAAAATATATTCTAGAAATTTGAAATTACATACATTTGAATAAATATGATTATAAAAATACCATAATAGTACCAGTAGATTATGTGAAAATTTCACTAGAAGTACAGATTAAAACAAAAAACAGAATAGAATAATATTAAAGAAATTAAAATAATTTTTGAGTTTTAAAGTTTTCTAATGTTCAGAGTAGAATTAATATCACATTGTTATTGACTTGAGTTCAAACTCTGATTAAATTAAGTTCAGATTGCAACTAGTTTTCATTTGGTGATGATGACATATAAATGACCAGGAGATAATAAGTCTGTTTTCAGTAATGGACAGACTTGTGTAGACAAATAGAGAACTTATTAAGACAGCACTTTATCAAATACTTTGCTAGAAGAAATTACTAATTAGGTTAGAATATGAGTTTCAAAATAAAATAATTGACAATCACAATGTTAGAAACCTTCAAACAAGAAATGATTTTAAATTTGCTTAAAAGAAAAATACCAGATGCACAAGCTGTTCAAAATGAATCTCTCGAGAAGACAGCATGTAACATTCATAGGCATAATGCTACAATAGACAGATGGGATCAGATAACCTCCTTAAATCCAAGAAGATCAACAGGGATTATTTAATGACCTTCATTTTGAA